AGCCTTTTGTTGTGTCCTTGTGCAAAGGTGAGTGAAGCCTCGAGACGAGAGAATGTTGTTCCCGAGCCTAGCTCACTGGGTCGCAGCTGTACCAGAGTATATATACGGTCCCTGCCAAGGTGAGAGAAGGCTCAAGAAGAGCGTTTCGTGTGTCTGTCTCAAGTTGAGACCCGTGTTAGGTTGAGGTCCATCTCAAGGTGAGACCTGTGTTAGGCTGAGGTCCGTCTTAAGGTGAGACCTGTGTTAGGCTGAGGTCCGTCTTAAGGTGAGACCTGTGTTAGGCTGAGGTCCGTCTTAAAGTGAGGCCTGTGTTAGGCTGAGGTCCGTCTTAAGGTGAGACCTGGTGTTAGGCTGAGGTCCGTCTTAAGGTGAGACCTGTGTTAGGCTGAGGTCCGTCTTAAGGTGAGACCTGTGGTAGGCTGAGGTCCGTCTTAAGGTGAGACCTGTGTTAGGCTGAGGTCCGTCTTAAGGTGAGACCTGTGTTAGGCTGAGGTCCGTCTTAAGGTGAGACCTGTGTTAGGCTGAGGTCCGTCTTAAGGTGAGACCTGTGGTAGGCTGAGGTCCGTCTTAAGGTGAGACCTGTGGTAGGCTGAGGTCCGTCTTAAGGTGAGACCTCTGGTAGGCTGAGGTGAGGTCTGTGTCAAGGTGTGAAACTGTCCAAGTTACGGTAAGTGTTTGATGTATCCCTCCCTATCAATGTGAATTCCCTGCCAATGAAGCCATAAGTTGCCTGCTGCTTCTCCCCCCTGTTTCATCCCCTCCTTTGCGCCCACCATTGCTGCTACAGGTCAGCAGCGGCGGCGCATCTATCTACTTCATCTGCTCAAGGTCCGCAACTGCACCGACCCCTCCCAGCCGAACCTTGTGTCTTCCCGTTTCTCCTGCTCCTCCATATTATCGCTCTTGCCCCTGCCCCTGTACCCCCACTACCCATCCCCAGGTCAGCAGAGGCGCATCTTCTCCAACAAAGCCCAACTGCACCGATCCCTTGGAGTGTAGTGGACCTCTCCTGCGTACCCCTCCTCCTGCTGCTTCCCCACACTGTCTCCCGCCTCTTCCTCTGTATTCCCACCATCCCTCTCCAGGTCAGCAGCGGCGCATCTTCTCCAACAAGGCCCGCAACTGCACCGACCCCTTGGAGTGCAGCGAACCCCACCTGCTGCTTCCCCACACTGTCTCCCACCTCTGCCCCCACTACCACCACCCCTCTCCAGGTCAGCAGCGGCGCAAATTCTTCAACAAGGCCCGCAACTGCACCAACCCGACCCGTGCAATTGAAAACATGTTTCACCTCTCCTCTGCACCCACCATTGCTGCTGCAGGTCAGCATTGGCGCATTTTCTCCAACAAGGCCCGCAACTGCACCGACCCCTTCCCGCTGAGCTTCCCGTTTCCGCTCTGCATCTCCTTCACTCCAGGCCGTGTCTCTTTCCCCTGCCCCCACCACTCGCCTCCTCTCCAGGTCAGCAGAGGCGCATATTCTTCAACAAGGCCCGCAACTGCACCGACCCCTTCCCGCTGAACCTCTCTCCTCGACCTGAGCCTTGCGGTGAGTGGCTCTGCGGTGCGATAGTTCGCTCTGCAGTGAGATGCTTTGCGGTGAGGTGCTCTGAAGTGAGTTGCCCTGCCCTGCAGTGAGCTGCGTCGGCACATGGAATGATTGACCTCTGAGGTGCCTCAAAAGTCAGGTGCACCAACCTCTCGCCTCGACCTGAACCCTGCGGTGAGCTTCTGGTGGACCGTGGTTTAAGGGTATTAGGGTGAGGTGGTGGACTGCGGCTTTAGGGTTTTAGGGTTAGAATAAGGACCACGGCCTTAGGGTGTAGGGAGCGACCGAACAAGCTTTGAATATGTATCCCTAGACCTCAACCCAACCCATACCGTGGTGGTATGATTTCTAGTATGTACGCCAGACCTGAGCCCAAATTGATATCATTGTATCATATCAACCGTAGGCCCAGGAGGAGAAGATGACTGCGTGGCACCAGACCAGACGACTGCACACCAGCACGGCGGCACGCACAGCAGAGGACCGCGGGTACAAGTAAGGGAAGTGTCACAATGTCATGGCTGGCTGTGCGTGTAGTGGTGAGTCTATTTTTGAGTCGACTCAAAAATGTCATGGCTGGCTGTGTGTTCATCCATATGTGCATCCCATCCCACCCAATACCCATTGCATGGCATGACATGCCGTGACAGACATCTGTGCACACCCGTGTGTGTGCGCTGTGCCTGTGCCTCTCTCCTCCCGTACAGACTGCACACCAGAGGACTACGAGCGCAAGTATGTCAAGGCAGGCAATCACATGGCATTTTTCTAGTGGCTGGACCGTGCCGTAACCGTGTGACCACGCCTGTGTGTGCGCCCTTGTCTCTCCTCCCGTGCAGACTGCACGCCAGAGGACTATGAGAGCAAATACGTCAAGGCAGGCAATGGCAGGCGAGGGCCTGACAATGTGCCAGCGGCCGTATCCCATACCCATGTGTCTTCACGCCTGTGTGTTTGCTGTTGCCTCTCTCCTCCCGTGCAGACTGCACGCCAGAGGACTATGAGAGCAAATACGTCAAGGGAGATACAGGCCTGGCCGGTCGTGTGTTCATTCATGTGTCCCATCCCATACCCATATCCACATGTGTGTGTGTGTGTGTGCGCGCGCGCGCGTGTGCGTGCGTGCGTGCGCGTGAGTGTGTGTGTACGTGTGTGTGTGTGCGCCAATGTCTCTTTCACCCCACCAGACTGCACGCCTAGCAGTGTGTTAATTGGCCTTGTCTCACACTGCCTGTGTTTTGTTATGTGCCTCTCACACCCCGCGTGCAGACTGCACGCCAGAGGACTATGAGCGCAAGTACGTCAAGGCAGACAATGGCTCCTGCACCCTCTCCTTCCAGCCAACCAGTACGTACTCGTTTCTGAACTCCAGATTTGTTGAGCTTGATTCTGAAAATTCTAGCTTACTTTTGAGGCGCCTCAAAAGTCCTCTCCTTCCTGCCAACTAGTACCTACTCGTTTCTCAACTCCAGGTTTGCCTTCGGCTAACTTTTGCCATTTGTTTTTGTGACTTTGTCTCATCTGCAAAAAGTTGGCTAGAAGATTCGCTGGGTGGATAGACGATGTACAGAGTTGGTTATCGTGACTATAAGTCTACCAGTTGTGACTCTATATGACCTTTTTGAAGATGCACAATCATGCACCATCCCTTGACTTGTCCCCGTTGCCCTCGCTTCCAGTTGCACTTTTGATGAATCCGAAACACGTTATGCTGTTGGGGTGAATGGGGTGCTCTCGTTTGCTCCATGACAACAGATTGTGATGGGGTGAATTCCAGCTGGGATAGTTCAGCTGGCCTTCTCTCCTTGTCCCTTTTGTTCTCGCCTCCAGCTGCATTGCATCTAGGGTAAATCGATTTTTGAGTCGACTAAAAAATTCTCGCCTCCAGCTGCATTGCATCTAGGGTAAATCCACAACCACAACACGTTATGCATGTCTTTGTCTATCTTGTTTGCCTGATGTCAACAGACTGCGAGGGAGGGGATTCCACTTGGGAGATTCCTGCTGACCCTCTCTTCTGTGGTGAGCACACTCCGAGTAATCTGCTGCATCCTTGTTTCCTTTCTAGTTCCTCATTAAGCACTCCTTGTGAAATCAGCTCTTTGCTTCTGCGAGTGGTGGTGTGCATGCAGCATGGTGCCTGGTTTTCATTCCGAGCTGCCTCTGCTGCCATTGGCTCACCCTGTATGCGCGCTTGTGTGCTCGCATCGCACGTGTGCATCATGCGTGTGTGTCTTTTGTGAGTTTGTGCATATGTTCCTCCTCCTGCCTGCTTTTGAGGCGCCTCAAAAGGCGCCTCAAAAGTTTTGAGGCGCCTCAAAAGTGCTCGCATCGCACGTGTGCATGCGTGTGTGTCTTTTGTGAGTTTGTGCATATGTTCCTTCCTCCTCCTGCCTGCATGCAAATCCATCCATGCACATATCTAATTGCCTCCGAAACACGCATCCAATTCAAGCACCCAAATCCATGTGTCCGGATCCCACCGCTTAAGTCCTCACATGCACATGTTGATTGATGGGTAACTGATCTGCTGCACAGTTAAACCCAGTGCCAGGCGACTTTTGATTTGAGATGTCTCAAAAGTCGCGTGCATATATGGGTCTAGGGATTAGGTATTTGCTGCCCAAGTCTATGTTGAGTGATCTATTGCAGGGCTAGGCTAGCCCCAATTTCCAATTAGGGGGCTTGGGGGCCCCGATCTGATGAGAACATAACATTCTCATCCCATGACCGAATGGGGGGATCCATGCATCAGATTCAGCTTATAACATCCTCCCATGATGTTATTAGCATCAGGCATGGGGTTCAGCTTATAACATCCTCCCATGATGTTATTAGCATCAGGCATGGGGTTCAGCTTATAACATCCTCCCATGACCGCATGTTGATTGATAATCGATCTGTTGCAGAGCTAGCCCCGGTGCCATGTGGGGAGGGCAACATCCGCACCATCCATGGCAAGTGCGACTACATCAGAGACCCCGCGTCCAACCAGCCCCTCAGCAAGGAGAAGACCATCCAGGCACGTGGTAACATGCGGTAACACACGGTAGCATGTGGTATGTGGTAGCTCCGGTGGGTGGCATGCATGTGGGGAGGCAACATCCGCACCATCCATGGCAATTGCGACTACATCCGAGACCGAGCAAAGAGCCAGCCCCTCAGCAAGGAGAAGACCATCCAGACACGTGGTAAAATGCGGTAACATGTCGTAAGACACTAGACAATACGTGGTAACATGTGGTAACATGTCGTAAGACACTAGACAATACGTGGTAACATGTGGTTACGTGGTCAAAACGTATGGTGCTGTCATGTTCCCTGCTGCTCGTCCGTCTTCTTCATTCACGCTTGCGCTTCCTCAGCATCCTCCCCCTCAGCATTTCAAGTTGTGATTTCAATATCCTTTTATATTTTGAGCAAAGTTCTTGAGGCGCGCCATCACCATAACATGTCATCATGTCACCATCACCATCACGATCACCCTCACATCACCCCCCTCCACATCACCATCACCCCCCTCCACATCACCATCACCCTCACATCACCCCCCTCCACATCACCATCACCCTCACATCACCCCCCTCCACATCACCATCACCCTCACATCACCCCCCTCCACATCACCATCACCCTCACATCACCCCCCTCCACATCACCATCACCCTCACATCACCCGCACTCCCACATCATCATCCCCACCACCAGGTGATCTATTACTTTGACAGCGGTTGCAACCCCACAGCACACGGCTCTCTCCCGCTACCCTCGCCTGGATACATCCCCTGCGGTATGTGTGTGTGTGTGTGTGTGTGTGTGTGTGTGTGTGTGTGTGTGTGTGTGTGTGTGTGTGTGTGTGTGTGTGTGTGTGTGTGTGCTGAGAGCTTCGTGGTGGGTCGGGTGGGAGTTGTGTGGTGGCTTGATCTGTGGCGGCGCTGCCATAGCCTGGATACATTTTCTGCGGTATGTGTGTGTGTGTGTGTGTGTGTGTGTGTGTGTGTGTGTGTGTGTGTGTGTGTGTGTGTGTGTGCTGGGAGTTTTGTGGTGGTGCAAGTGGGGTGGGGGTTCTGTGGTGGGTTGGGTTGAACCTTATCTAGCCATCACGAATCACCCCACACGGCTCTCTCCCACTGCCATAGCCTGGATACATCCCCTGCAGTATGTGCCAAAGTTTTGAGACGTCTTAAAGCTACCATGACCTGGATGCATTCCTGCCCTGCGGTATTTGCCAAAGTGACTTTTGAGTCGACTCAAAAGTCACCTCGTTTTGAGACGTCTCAAAGCTACCATGACCTGGATGCATTCCTGCCCTGCGGTATTTGCCAAAGTGACTTTTGAGTCGACTCAAAAGTCACCTCGTTTTGAGACGTCTCAAAGCTACCATGACCTGGATGCATTCCTGCCCTGCGGTATTTGCCAAAGGTACGATGAACCAGCTGAATACATTTCCCACATTATGTGCCATGTCGTGCCGTACCATACTTTACCATATCATACCGTACCGTACCGTACCATTCCATACCGCACCGTGCCATACCATAACATACCATACCATACCATACTGTACCGTACTGTACCATACCATACCATTCCATAGCATATACTGTACCGTACCCCCCTCCACTCCCATCTTCCCCTTTTCCTTTCTCTCCCCCCTCCCACACAGACATGACGTGCCCTGCCGGTTCCTACCTGGACGGGGACAATGCCGCAAGTGCAAGCCTGGCACACAGAGGAGAGGAGAGCACACAGGACATCATTCCGCCATCCAATCCCATCCACTGCTTCTCTCTTCCCCCTTCGCCCAACCCCCCGCCTCCCCCCCCAAGACATGACGTGCCCTGCTGGTTCCTACCTGGACAGGTACAAGTGCTGCAAGTGCAAGCCCGGCATACAGAGGAGAGGAGAGCACGCAAGACATCATTCCGCCATCCAATCCCATCCACTGCTTCTCTCTCCCCCTTTCGCCCAACCCACCCCCCCCCCCCCCCCCCAAAGACATGACGTGCCCTGCTGGTTCCTACCTGGACGGGGACAAGTGTCGCAAGTGCAAGCCCGGCACGTACAGCATGGGGGGAGGGATCCGTTTCGATGCTTTCTATGAGCTTGATGACCGGTTGTTCCAGGTATGGCTGGGTACTTGGCGGTACGATAGTTTCTGAGGCACCTTGAAGTTCGCTTTTGAGCTGCCTCAAGATTCGTGGCTGGTTGTTCCTGGTACGATTGGCTTTTGAGTCGACTCAAAAGTCAACTCTGGCCGGTTGTTCCTGGTACGATTGGGGAAACCTTTACTTGCTTGGACTTGCAGACCGACTCGAATTCAGAACGAGTCGTGCATTTTAACTTGATATATGATATATGGCATATATTTGTTATTATATATCTCTTGTTGCTCACATGCATCTCCTGCTTATCCTTTTCTACCGCTCTGTATTCCTCCCTTTCACTGCCAGACGGACTGCACCCACTCCAACTCCTCCGGTTCATTCAAGTGCGACGGGTAAGGCCATCTCGATGTACCACTCATGCGACTTTTGAGTCGACTCACAAGTCGCTCAAAAGTCACCTTTTTTATTCGACTAAAAGTAATTCAGAAGTCACCTTTTTGGGTCGACTCAAAAGTAAGGCCATCTCAATGCACCACTCATGCAAGCATATGTGTCGACACGTCAAGCTCCGTGCTTTCCCAAATGCGATTTAGGCCTATGTGCCTGGCTGGCCGTAGCAAGAGGACCAAAAGGCTTAAAATGAGACTGCCTCTCCTCCCTTAGTTCTTTCTCATCGTTTGCAATAGCTTGTGGTATGGCATGCGTCAACAGGCAAGCTCATAATCAGGCCTCTTTTTGATTCGAGGCGCTTCTGTGGCGGGCTTAAAGGCCTAACTAAATCGACTCAATAGCCATCCATATGCTCACCATTCTCCGTTGCTTCTCACTGCCCCCCAACAGGTGGTATGCAGCAGGCGGCCAGCTCAAAGCCGGCCCGTACGGCAACCCGGTTCTTGAGGCGCCTATAAGATAGCAGTCATCCCACATGGCGATTATCCACCAGACTCCCTTTCCTTGGTGCGTCTCACCGCCCCCCCAACCCAACAGGTGGTATGCAGCAGACGGCCAGTTCAAAGCCGGCCCGTACGACCCACCCAATGAATGGTATCCGGTAGGGCTCAAGCGCTTACTTGGCACAAGCTTATTCGTGAATTGAGACTTTTGACTTTTTAAATTTCTCGGAACTCGAACGTTCCCTGTAGGTAGTCTCATGCAAAACGCTGGCTAACTCTCGCGGCTGCTCCCTTGAGTTGAGTGCTATAACTGTCACGCTAAGTGGATACGTCTTGTCTTGATGGCCTCAATAACCTCCCTTGAGTGCTACAACTGTCCTGTCACGCCGCCAAATGGATGAGACTCGAGGCACCCCAGCGCCTCAAAACTCAATTCATTTTGCTCCCTTGAGGGCTACAACTGTCACGTCACGCCAAGTGGATGAGTCTTGACGCACCTCAATCAAAGGTCACATTTCTCTTGCCCTTGTCTCTAAGCCCTCATATCGCTTTAATCTAGCTCGGCGACAGCACGACCTGCTTCTTGGAAACCCACGATTGCCTGCCACAACACCACAACTTGCCACTGCAACTTGCCACTGCAACCTGCCACTGCAACTTGCCACTGCAACTTGCCACTGCAACCTGCCACTGCAACTTGCCACTGCAACCTGCCACTGCAACTTGCCACTGAAACTTGCCACTGCAACTTGCCACTGCAACTTGCCACTGCAACCTGCCACTGCAACTTGCCACTGCAACTTGCCACTGCAACCTGCCACTGCAACCTGCCACTGCAACCTGCCACTGCAACCTGCCACTGCAGCCTCTCTTATACCCCTCTGGCTCTTCCATCCACCCACATCACCTCCTTCTCTCCATCTGTGCTGCGCAGGACGACTGCTCCCTCGGCTCGGACAACTGCCACAACAACCTACTTTTCACAATCCCTTGCATCCCTCTGTTACCTCATCCCCATATCCCTCGTGCCACCTGCTTCTCTCCATCTGTGCTGTGCAGGACGACTGCTCCCAGGGGTCGTACAACTGCCACAGCAACGCGCTCCCTACCGTCTCTCACCTCCCTCTCTTACCTCTCACCTTCTTCGTGTCACCTCCTTCTCTCCATCTGTGCTGTGCAGGACGACTGCTCCCTGGGATCCTACAACTGCCACAACAACCTGCGTGCGTCGCTGCGCATGCAAGTGGAGCTCATCACATCGGGGTGAGTGAGTGAGCGACACAACATCTCACCCGTCTGTGCCACCAGAGGATCCAATCACGGTGAGCGAGTGGGCGTTGTGCTCAGGTTGACACATCACCTTACCCGGGTGAGTGGCATGGAGGTGGAGAAAATCCGATCAGGGTGAGCCAGTGAGGTGAGAGTGTGAGGGCCGTGCAAGTTTGATTGAGACACCACCCGTGTGTTTCCTTCCCCGAAGCAGCCTTCATCGGGCACAAGACCGACGGAATGAATAATCAACATCTCGGACCCTGTTCCCAATGTCATCATTGTTCTACATCCACTCCATAATCCACTCCATAATCCACTCCATAATAATCCAGTCCATTATCCACCCCACTGCTATTTGCCTTGCCCTTATGCTTCGCATCGCAGTGACCTGACAACACGCTTCACTCACTCGAGAGGTCACCATACTCCCTCCCTCTACTCCAATCTCATCGTACCGTTTCATCGTACCATTTCATCGTGACCATTTCATCGCACCATTTCATCGCACCATTTCATTGTACCATTTCATCGCACCATTTCATCCCTCCATCCACCACAGATACGTGCGCCCAGCTTGGTGCTCGTGTTTGCAACGAGTCAAGTGCGGAGCACTACATTCACAGGCTGTTCCTCTCCTCTACATCCTTCGTTTCGTGCCTGGGCCATTGGCCGCCCCCCTCCCCTCCTCTCCCCCACACCCGCAGCTACATCTGGTATCACTTCACAAAGAATGCAGAGCACAAGGCTTGACTGAATTGACTTAGAATGCCTTCCTTCCTCCTCCCCCCTCTCTCTCCCCATTTTCCCCCCCACCCACCCCTGCCGCAGCTACATCCGGTACCGCTTCACAGTGAGCGCAGAGCAAGATTTTTGAGGCTCCTCAAAGTTTGACGGGCTGCTCTTCTTCCTTGATCCCTCTCTTATCCTCCGCTCCCCCATTCCACTACTCCCCTCCCCAATCCCCAATCCCCCATCCTGCATCCTCCAACCCCAACCCCCCATCCCCCATCCACCACCCCCCTCCCTCCTCCCAGCTACATCCGGTATCGCTTCACAGTGAGTGCAGAGCACGAGTTTGATGGGCTGCTCCCCCTCCTGTGGTCCTCTTGACTCCTCTTCACGCCTCTCCACTCCTCTCCCACCCGCAGCTACATCCGGTATCGCTTCACAGTGAGCACGGAGCACAAGTTTGACGGGCTGCTCTTCTTCCTCCCCTCTCGCCCTATCTTCCCCACCCCTCTGCCTCATCCCCCATCCCCCATCCACCCCCCCCCTCCCCCCCCCCCCCCCCCCCCCTTCCCTCCTCTACTCACGCAGCTACATCCGGTACAAGTTCACAGTGAGCACGGAGCACAAGTTTGACGGGCTGCTCTTCTTCCTCGACTCCTCGCCAGAGCCTTTGATGGGGCTCGAATCCAACCAGGTGAGTCCCTGTGACTTGAGAGTTGACTCAAAGCTACCTCACTTTGATGGGCTACTCAAGAGGCACCTCACTCCTCGAGTCTCAACTGGTTGACTTGTCAGTTTGACGGGCTGCTGTTCTTCCTTGACTCCTCGCCAGAGCCCACGATTGGGCTCGAATCCAACCTTTTCCTTCAGGTACATCTGGATCGGAAGTTTTTGCAGTGAGCCCTCCTGTCCTGGTTCGCTGCTCTCATTGTGAGTGAGCCTGTAGTTTTTTGAGTCGACACATAAGAAACCTCAGTTCTCGAACCGAGTCTCAACTGAGTGGCTTCTTAGTTTGACTTGACGGGCTGCTTCTCTTCCTCGACTCATCACCAGAGCCCATGATGGGCCTCGGGTTCAACCAGGCTCGGTTCTGTTTGGTTCGTTTCGATTCCGTTCAGTTCGGATCGGTCGGTTCGGTGCGGTTCGGTTCGGTTCGGTTCGGTTCGGTTCGGTTCGGTTCCGGTCGGTTCGCTCTATCAAGTTTCGTTCTGTCCGGTTCCGTTCCGTTCTGTTCTGTTGTGTCTTTTATTGTCCGATTCGGTCTTGTCCGGTTCTCTACTGTCACATTCTGTTTCAAGGTACCATATTCCAGCTGCCAGCATTGTCCACTCCACTGCCCTGTGCAACGCATGCTCCCTTACCCTCCCCCATCGCCCCCACTCACCCCATTCCCCCCTTGCCAGTTCGAGCCAATGGAGGTGCAAATAATGCTGGAGCCGGGCATTCACATGCTGGAGTAGGTTGGGTTTGCTACAAGTAAGCTCGAGCACGAGCAAAGAGCCATGCGTGCGTGCTTCCCCTCCCTGCCTGCCTGCTCAACCCGGCCTTCCCCACCAGTTCGAGCCCATGGAGGTGCAGATAATGCTGAAGCCGGGCATTCACACGCTGGAGTGGGTTTACTACAAGCAGGCATGCTCAACCCATCTACCCCCACCGCCCATTCCCTCCCTCCTCTCTCCCACTCTCCCCCTGCCAGTTTGTCCCGATGGAGGTGCAGATAATGCTGGAGCTGGGCATTCACACGCTGGAGTGGGTGTTGCACGAGCCAGCAGAGCCCGGAACACAATCTAGCTCCTCCCACACCCTGCCTGCTCAGCTCACCCCACTTCATCCTCTCGCATCCTACCTACCAGTTCGACCCAATGGAGGTGCAGATAATGCTGGAGCCGGGCATTCACACGCTGGAGTGGGTTTACTACAAGGACTCCAAGTTCACCAAGGGGAGGGACTCCGCTGCCCTGCATGTGAGTGCATGAAGGGATGCTGGTGGGTGCTAGAGGTAGATGTTGATAGCATGAGGGGTTGGATTGGGTGCATCCACACACTGGAGTGGGTTTACTACAAGGACTCCAAGTTCACCAAGGGGAGAGACTCCGCTGCTCTGCACGTGAGATTGGTGCAGGGTTGAGGGTTTGTAGGGGCAGTGAGGTAGTGAGTGGAACCCGGCATGCATTCACACGCTGGAGTGGGTTTACTACAAGGACTCCAAGTTCACCAAGGGGAGAGACTCCGCTGCTCTGCACGTGAGTGTGGTGTGGGGTTGTGGAGAAGTAGGGGGCCCTGGTGCACTGAGATTGTGAGGTAGTGAGGGGGGGCGGGGCAGGCATACACACGCTGGAGTGGGTTTACTACAAGGACTCCAAGTTCACTAAGGGGAGAGACTCCGCTGCCCTGCACGTGAGTGTGGTGTGGGGTTGATTGAGGGGAAGTAGGAAGCACTGAGGCACGCGCATGCACTGTAACCCGGCATTCACACGCTGGAGTGGGTTTACTACAAGGACTCCAAATTCACCAAGGGGAGGGACTCTGCTGCCCTGCATGTGAGTGCGGTGCAGGGATGCTGGTGGGTGCTAGAGGTAGATGTTGATGACTTTTGAGTCGACTAAAAACTCGCCTGCCTGCCTGCCGTTTGTCTGTGCCTGCCTGTCTGCCTTGTGTGTGTGCGTTCGTACGTGCAGCTGATAGAGGTGGGAGGCATTGATTACACGGACCGGCAGTGCTTCCCATGCCAGGCAGGCTTCTACAGGTGAGGCAAGGGGCAGCGGTGGGTAGTGGTGGGCAGTGGTGGCAAGGGATGCTGCTGGGTCATTGAGATGGCCACCTGACATGGCTGGCAGCTGGAATCGATTACAGGTGGGTGGAATCGATTACTCGGACCGGCAGTGCTTTCCGTGACAAGCAGGCTTCTCCAGGTGAGTGCGGAGCAGCAGGCAGTGGTGAGCAGTGGTGGGCAGTGGTGGGCAGTGGTGGGCAGTGGTGCGCAGTGTGCAAAAATGGTGGCAAGGGATGCTGTGTGGTTCATTCAGAAGGCCACCTGCCATGCCAGCTGGTAGAGGTGGGCGGCATTGACTACACGGACCGGCAATGCTTCCCGTGCCAGGCAGGCTTCTACAGGTGAGGCAATGGGCAGCGGTCTGGCAGTGGTGCAAAGTGGTGGACAGTGGTGGCATTGACTACACGGACTGGCAATGCTTTCCATGCCAGGCAGGCTTCTACAGGTGAACGCGGAGCAGTGGGTAATGGTGGGCAGGGCGCAGTGGGTTGGGACCAGGGAGTGCACTAGTGGTTGCTGGTATCGAAGTTGGTAGAGGTGGGGCGGCATTGACTGCACGGACTGGCAGGCAGTGCTTCCCGTGCCCGGCAGCAGGCTGGCTTCTACAGGCTTCCCGTGATGTGCTTCTGATGCTTCTGAGCATCAGTGTGCTGGTAACTGGTTACGTTCACCCCGGCGTGGTAGGCTTTACTTTGGATCGGAGCCGACACAGCATTCTACGTAACATTTCAATTTAAGGCTTCTACAGGATCTGCACTCTATTGAAATGCGTTTTACTAGATTGACAATTTTTCCTAAGATTCCCAGCCATGCCATCCGCTGTTTTGTTTGCATACCACTGCTCTTCCTTGGTGCAGTGAGGAGGGCTCTACTGAGTGTGCGCCATGCCCTGTGGACCACTACTCGCGGTGAGTCCAAAGGCTGTATTTCTAATGAGCCCTGGTGCTGGCTGTGGTAGTGCTGCTGCTGCTACTGCTGCTGCTGCTGCTGCTGCTGCTGCTGCTGCTGCTGCTGCTGCTGCTGCTGCTGCTGCTGCTGCTGCTGCTGCTGCTGCTGCTGCTGCTGCTGCTGCTGCTGCTGCTGCTGCTGCTGCTGCTGCTGCTGCTGCTGCTGCTGCTGCTGCTGCTGCTGCTGCTGCTGCTGCTGCTGCTGCTGCTGCTGCTGCTGCTGCTGCTGCTGCTGCTGCTGCTGCTGCTGCTGCTGCTGCTGCTGCTGCTGCTGCTGCTGCTGCTGCTGTTCTTGGTGTTGTTGCTGGTGCTGCTGGTGGTGGCTTGTAGAGTGCAACCCCTCCTTGCAATGCTGATCAGCTGTTTACTCATGCCAGTTGGCCAGCATTCTGGGTGATTATTATGCCAGCCCCACACTCTCTGCTGGTGATTATGCGCGCATTGCACTTGCACCATCCACGTGTACTATGTACCGCCGCAGGGAGGGCTGGCCAGAGTGCAAGCCATGCAGTGCTGAAGAGTACGCGCAGTCGCCTCCTCGAGCCAACTGCTCTGCCAGGCCTCGTACGTGCGCTGCCCTTTAGTTGCATGCGCTTTATTGGAGTCACTCCCTTTGAGTCACATTTGGAGTTACACCTTTTTAAGGCAATCTGCTGGAAATGAAGTCAAACTGAGCAGTCACCTCCTCCTCGAGCCAGCTGCTCTGCCAGGCCTCGTACGTGTGCGGGCTGGGCAGTGCCATGGTCCATCTCTCTCGTACGTGTGCGACTTTCGCTCTCTCGTATTTCTGGCTCTAGCTCCTCTCCTCTATCTCGCTCCCTCTGCTCTCTCCCCATCCCTCCCTCCCTTTCCCCTCTGCCACTAAGCCTGCTGCTGCCTGTCTCTCCACCTCCTTTTCCCTGCCTCCTCGACAATTCTCCAGCTTGCAACGTGACAACCGATGCCGCCCCTACCTACGGCAACTGTAGCGCAGTGGACAACCAGAGAATCAAGGTCAGTCAGATGGAACCCACAAGGAAAACAAAACAGTAGGGTTCAATGCACTCGATTGTGCTCTGGTCCGGTGTAAAGTTTTTCATTAAGAATTGAGCCGTGCAGGCAGTCAGTACACACAGCCAGGTTGCTGGTAAGCTTTGAGTCGGCTTGAAACCCAATGTTGATGGCCTCTCATGTGCCAGCCGTCACACAATCGCACCAACTCACTCTTTCCTTGGTCCTCCTCATCCTTGTATTGCATACCTTCTCTGACATGCTTGGACATCCACACCAACCGTTCCACCCCTGGGGCGTGGATGGCTGACCCCTCTCATCATTCACCTCACACCATTCCCCTTTACTCCCTCACCCCATTTCCCACATCAAACCCCCACTCCCTCCAACCCTTCCCCCCACATTCCCCCCCCACGCCTCCTCTCCTTCCCCAATTCCAGACCTGGGCATGGCTCACTCCCCACATCTGTGCGCCCCTCTCAGAGGACGAGGACCTTCCTGCTGACACGCACGAGCCGTGCCGTGAGTGCCATGGTGGTGGTGGTGATGCCGTGTGGATAGATGGATGGAGTAGGAATTGCCATAAGTGTGTGGGTGCAGGCATGCCCCTTTCAGCGAGGGTATTTTTGAGACGTCTCAAAAATACCCTCTGTACACGAGGAATTGCCATAAGTGTGTGGGTGCAGGCGTGCCACTCTCAGCGAGCAGTGACCTCCCTGCTTGCCCACGAGCCGTGCCGTGAGTGCGATCGTGTGGATGGATGGATGGATGGATAGTGGGGAAATTGTCATCTCTGTGTGGGTGCAAGCATGCCGTCTGTTTGAGTCACGTCACAGCTTGTATTTCTGATGCTGATGCTGGTGCGGGTGCTGGTGCGGGTGCTGGTGCTGGTGCTGGTGCGGGTGCTGCTGTGGTGCTGGTGCTGATTCTACTTGTGCAAAGAAAAAACCCTCTTTATACAAAGACCACACCCCCCTGCCCGTTCTTTGCCTCCCCCCCCTCCGCTACCATTTCCCCCTTCCTCCCACGCTACTCCTCCCCTACACACTCAACCCTTCCCAACCACAGCCCCCTGCCCCTCGGGTCAATACGCTGTGGAGGACAGCACCACGTGCACCAGACTCTGCCACTTGCTTGTGCACCCCATGCACCAAACCCTGTCACCTGCCTTGTGTGCTCTCTTCTCTTCCCCTTCCCCCACCACCCACAGCCCCCTGCCCCTCGGGTCAATACGCTGTGGAGGACAGCACCACGCGCACCAGACTGTGCCTCATGTGACAGCAACCCATGCACCAGACTTTGGCACTTGTCTTGTGTGCTCTCTTCTCTTTCCCTTCCCCCCGAACCACAGCGCCATGCCCTTCGGGTCAATACGCTGTGGAGGACAGCACCACGCGCACCAGACTGTGCCTCATGTGACAGCAACCCATGCACCAGACTTTGGCACTTGTCTTGTGTGCTCTCTTCTCTTTCCCTTCCCCCCGAACCACAGCGCCATGCCCTTCGGGTCAATACTCTGTGGAGGACAGCACCACGCGCACCCGACTCTGCCACTTCTGCCCACCGGTGAGCCTGGCTGGATTCCAATTCTGTTTCTTTTTGTTCAAAATGGAGTATGCTATGAATAAGCGGCCTTCCAAAAATTGGATAAAGCGAGCATGGATAAAGCGAGCATGGATAGGTGGCACTGAAGGCTCTCCCTCACCACAGCCCACTTCCATTCCATCCAGCTTCTTCTTACCTGCTTCAACCACTTCTTCCCCTCTCCTCCTGCAGCTTGCCAGCAGAGGGTCTGGCATGCTGCAAAACGCCTCTGTGCCGCCCACCGGACAAGGCGTGCTGCAAAGGTCCTCCAGGTCCTCACCTGACCATATATGGCCACTTTGAACTGCTCTGAACATGCCTCCCTTATTTCCTTTCTCCCTCTCCTCCCTGCAACTTGCCATGGCAGGGTCTGCACACAATGCGACCAGACCACCACCGCAAGTCTAGTTTTGAGGCGCCTCAAAACTTAGAAACTGCAGCTCGCTGGAATGTCTGATCACAACTTGCCATGGCAGGGTCTGGCACGCAACGACGCGACCAGACCACCACCTCGTTGCCAAACAAACCGTGCCGCAAGTGCCCTCGGGGGGAGGTGGCGGTCAAGCCGCTTACCATGGACCACTTTAAACTGCTCTGTCCCACACACCCATTCCATCCTTTCTCAACCCCATACAACCTCACTCAACCCCATTTGCCAAAACCCCAGGGCCTGGCACGCAATGCGACCACCACCTCGTTGCCAAGCAAACCGTGCTGCAAGTGCCCTCGGGGGGAAGCTGGCAGTGAAGGCACTCACCTCACCACGGACCACTTCCAGCTGCTCCCAACCTGCTTCCTTCACTCCCGTCCCCCTCTTCTCTTCCCGCTGCATGTTGCCATGACAGGGCCTGCTCAAAACGCCTCCACCGCCTCAACTGATTAAGCCTGCTGCCTGCCGCAAGTGTCTTCCGAGGGAGGTGGCTGGCTGTGAAGGCCCTCACCATGGACCACTTTGATCCCCTTTTCACCATGCCCTTTCTATCTCCACTCCACCCACTCCCTCTCATGCCCACCAATCGCAGGGTCTGGCACGCAACGCCACCACCTCCACAGCAAGCAAACTGTGCTGCAAGTGCCCTCCGGGGGAGGTGGCTTTGAAGGCACTCACCATGGACCATTTTGAGCTGCATGCTTCCGGCACGCCCTTCTTGCATATCCTCCCTCAACCTCCCTCCCTCCCGCTCTCAACAACACTTCGCAGGGCCTGGCACGAAACGCCTCTGTGTCTAAAACAGACAAGGCGTGCCGCAAGTGCCCTCCGGGAGAGGTGGCGGTGAAGGCCCTCACCATGGATCACTTTGAGCTGCACCGGGGGAAGCTTCCTGACGGTTTCGTGACCGGGTGCAGCGGGGACTGTGGTTCGCTGGGGTGGAGAGTGGTGAACGGGAAGCTGGACTCTGGCAGCAACCACGGCAAGAGTGCCTCTGTAAGACGTGACTGTAGAGAGAAGAACGTAAGATGTGCCTCAGCCTCAGTTATTTCCTTTAGTTGCCTGCTTCCTTCCTCACCGATTTTGGCCGATCCGCTGCCGCACCACACAGCACGGACCTTGTTTTGAGTCGACTGAAAACTATTTCCTATAAAGCTGCCTGCTTCCTTCCCGCCCCCCCCCCCCCCCCTCACCCATTTTGGCTAATCCGCTGAGCGCATCACACAGCACTGGACCTCCGTTGACCTCCCTCCTCCCTTCTCTCTTTCCGTCTTTCATCCCCTCCCCACCAGGTGTGGCCGTCCTATGATGTCAGCATGGCAGTGGATGAGATGATCATGTCACATTTGCGTACGAAATGGACATTCCAGAAGGGGAGAAGGGGGGGACCTGCAGAGGAGGGTCTCTCTCTGCTCATGAGTCCCCTTCTTTCCTCCCCATTGCTCCCTCCTCTCCTTTCCCTCCTCACCTCCCCACCAGGTGTGGTTGTCCTACGATATGAGCATGGCAGTGGAGGGGCACGTCTCATTCGCATACGACGTGGACGTTGCAGAAAGGGGAACCTTGCAGAGAGGGCCCCTTTCTGCTCTTGATTCTTCTTCTCTCTTTCCCTTCTTACTTTCCCCTTCTCCTCCCTCGCCCCCACCAGGTGTGGCTGTCCTATGACGTCAGCATGGCAGTGGACGGGCACGTCACATTCGCCTATGATGTGGACATTCCTCGGGGGGACCTGCAAAGGGGGCTCTTCTTTTATGTGGATGACCAGCTTGTGCTGAACATTGAGGTGGGTGAGTTGTGCTAATCCAGAGGAAGCTCTTTCAAGGCACCTCGCACATCATATCTTTTTGAGATTTCTCAAAACGTGTTTTTTAGCGTGTTTTTTTAGAATTCTCAAAAAACACGTTTTGAGAATTCTCAAAAAACCTCGCACATCATATCTGCAGAGAGGGCTCTTCTTCTATGTGGACGGGACGATCAACTCGTGCTGAACATCGAGGTGAGCAGGAAACTACCGACAGAGAGAGTAGTTTCTCACTGCAGCTTCGCGTCCACCAGTCACTGCCACCGTCACCTGCAGCGAGGGCTCTTCTTCTACGTGCTCAACATTGAGGTGAGGAAACTACCGATAGAGAGAGCAGCAGTTTCTCACTGCAGCGTCCACCAGTCAGTCACTGCCACTTTGACCTGCGGAGAGGGCTCTTCTTCTATGTGGACGACCCGCTGGTGCTCAACATTGAGGTGAGGGTTGAAACTGCTGGTAGAAAGAGAAGGATCAGTGGGATATGACAATATCGCGTTGACTCCCATTGTTATCAGCTTTTGGAGCACCCGCCTCGTCCTGCAATTCCACTGACTCTTATTCTCTTTATCCTCTTTATCCTCTTTATCCTCTTTATCCTCTTTATCCTCTATCCTCTTCATCCTCTTCATCCTCTTTATCCTCTTTATTCTCTTTATCCTCTTTATCCTCTTTATTCTCTTTATCCTCTTTATCCTCTTTATTCTCTTTATCCTCTGCCTTCGTAATCTTCTCCATTCCACTGCAGGACGACCCGGGTGCTGACTCAGCAGCGCCAGCCGGCCCGACAACCAGCGACACGTGGCCGCTGCCAGCTGGCAACCACAGCCTGATGTGGATCTGGGTCACGCTCAACGCTGACAAGGCGATCGCCAGGCGGGATTCGGCGGAGATCCTGGACATCACCGTGTGGGGCAGCACTGTGGGGGGTGCGCCTGCCTGTGTGCCCATTCCCCCCGGCACTGCCCCGGATGCTGCCACCCTTACCTGGAAGGCCTGTCCGCCTGGTACGTCCTTGTATTGTAACACCCCAAGAAAGGACTCTGCCTGCGGCGATCCTGGGCATCACCGTGTGTGGCAGCACCGTGGGGGGCGCGCCTGCCTGTGTGCCCATTCCCCCTGGCACTGCCCCTGACCCTGCCACCCTCACTTGGAAGCGCTGTCCCCCTGGTATGTCCTTGTATTGTATTGTAATAATACCCCATGCGGGACTCAGCGGAAATCCTGGACATCACCGTGTGGGGCAGCACTGTGGGTGGCGCGCCTGCCTGTGTGCCCATCCCTCCCGGCTCTGCCCCGGATGCTGCCACCCTCACCTGGAAGCCCTGTCCCCCTGGTACGCTCCTCCTATCTCTCCTCCTCTCCTCTCCTCTCCCCCAGCAAGCACAGCACTGCCCCTGCCTCAACCCCATCACCCTCACTTGGAAGCCCTGTCCCCCTGGTACGTCCTCGTATTGCATTGTAATAATACCCCATGCGGGACTCCGTGGAGATCCTGGACATCACAGTGTGGGGCAGCACTGTGGGGGGTGCGCCTGCCTGTGTGCCCATTCCGCCTGGAACAGCTCCGGATGCCACCACCCTCACATGGAAGGCCTGTCCGCCTGGTACGTGCTTGTAACACCCCATGGGATGGGGAAGTGAGATCCTATCCTGGGCATCACCGTGTGGGGCAGCACCGTGGAGGGCGCTCCCGCCTGTGTGCCCATTCCCCCTGGCACTGCCCCTGACCCTGCCACCCTCACATGGAAGGCTTGTCCGCCTGGTAAGACATTGAGTCACCCCATGGGAATGGGAGATCCTGGACGTCACTGTGTGGGGCAGCACGGTGGGGGGGTGCTCCCGCCTGTTTGCCCATCCCTCTGCTGGGGATCCTCGATATCATCGTGTGGGGCAGCACTGGGGGGGGCGCGCCTGCCTGTGTGCCCATTGCCCCCAACGCAGCTCCGATGCCACCTCCCTCACCTGGAAGCCCTGCCGCCCTGGTAGGTCTGTCCCCGGCCGGGCCTACAGGTGAGGGAGGTGAGGAGGGGTGCAGTGCAGGTGAAGGCAGCACAGCACATGGTAGAGTACTTCTTTTCTCCTCCTCTCATCTCCTTCCCTCTACCTTCCACTTTCCATCCCCCCATGTTCCCCTCTCCCTTTGCCCTCCACCCACACTTACTCGTGTTCAACTGTTTGTGAATGACCGTGACTGTTACTCGGTTGTGTGACTGTATGAGCAGGAGAGTACAGCGAGGGATCGGGCCTGCCGTGTGTAAAATGCCCTGCCAACACCTTCAACCCAAGACCCACGGTAATCCCTCCGCACTCCTCTGAACCCGTGGCGGACCCTCTACACACCCTTTCAACTCCTTTAAAATCCGTATCTACTCTCTCTTTCTATCTCTCCACAGATCTTGGTCCCGCATGAAGTGGGCCTGTATCTATCCCATTCTCATGCAACAGCCATGTAGCCATGTAGCCATGTAGCCATGTTCAACTCACCTGCTCGTTCTTGTAAAAAGTGAATATTTTAGACGTCTCAAGAAATCACTTTTTACGCTTGGGTCATCCCATTCTCATGCAAGAGCCATGTAGCCATGTTCAACTCACCTGCTCATTCTCCCTCCTGTGCCTGTTCGCCTCCATAATCCGGCACCCCTTGGGTTCTTCTCCCATCCCTACTCCCTTTCCCCACCAGGGCGCCCACTCTTCATGCCTCCCCTGCGGTCCCGGCACCTCGTCGCTCGCAGGCAGCACTGCTTGCATGCATGTGCCTGTCCCACTCATCCCCATTCCCATATCCATCCCCTTTCACTTTCCCCTTTTTCCCTTCCCCATCAGGGCACACACTCCTCCTGCCTCCCCTGCGGCCCTGGCACCTCGTCTCTCCCAGGCAGCACTGCTTGCACTGTTGGTGACATCACTGTTCCCTCCTCCTTCTGCACCTTCCAAGTAGTTTCTGATCTGAACCCCCCCAGCAGCAGCAGCACAAGTGAAGCTAATGCTAACACCGCCACCAACACTACCGCCACCACCAGCACCCCCTCCCCCTCCATTCCATCCGCCTCCTCTCCAATCGTCTACGATCTCTCCCCGCTCTCCCGCGTCCATCCTGGCCGCATGTTTGGGCCGATCTTTGAGGATCCAACGGCTGCGGATCGCCAGCACGGGCCCCTGTATTTTGTGTGTGTGTGTGCTGCCCCTGCAGGCAACACAGAGAGGGGGGAGAGAGAAGGGAAGAGCACAGAAGTAGGGCAGGGTGCGGAGGGAGGGGTGGTGGGGAGGGGAAGGAGGGGAAGAAGGAGAAGGGAAGGGCGATGGAGTGTACAGATGCAGAAGGCAAGCCGATAGCGACCATGGCATGTCGGGTGAGTGTTGAATGGCAGAGAAAAGGGGGGGCAAGCGAGGAAGCAGGGGAAGGGAAGGGAAGGGAAGGATGGTGGAGTGTAAGGATTCAGAAGGGAAGCTGATAGTGACCTGGCATGTCGGGTGAGTTTTGGAACGGTTCATGAAATGTTGCAAGCGTTGAAAGGAGTCAAGTGAATGTCCAGGTGACGCGGGACGAGCATCACGACGCACAAGCATCTGTCACTCTGTGGTCACATTCACCAATGTTGCATCTCATCTCATCTCATCTCATCTAATCTCATCTCATCTCATCTCATCATCTCATATCTCATCTCATCTCATCTCATCTCATCTCATCTCATCTCATCTCATCTCATCTCATCTCATCTCATCTCATCTCATCTCATCTCATCTCGTTTTCCTTTCTTCCCCTTGCCGCGTGTTTTTGAGGCGCCTCAAAACACAAGTCTGTCACTCTGTGGCCGCACTCACCAATGTTGCATCTCATCTCATCTTCCTTCCTTCCCCTTGCCGCGCCCTTTTCCCTTCTCTGTTGCGCTCAGGTGAATCCTCAGGTGATGCTGGACGAGCAGCACAGAGGATCCCACAGCCTAGGCGACCGTGTCTCCCTCTTCCCCCTCTTCCCCTCTTCCCCCTCTCGCACCCCCCAAACGCCACCGACCCCCTTCCCCACCGTCCCGACCCCATCCTTGCGCGGAGGGGGTTGGTGATGGTGCTGGAAGGGGAGAGATGCCCTTTCTCCGTGCAGGGGGGAGGGGGGGAGGGGAGCAGGTGGGGGATGGGGGAAGATGCGGAGAAGGGGAAGGGGAAGGGGGAAGGCGGGGAGGAGAAGTATGGACGGCTTACGATCACTTTCATTTGTGACCCTAATGCAGGTGAGGGGGGTGGGGGTGGTGGGTGTGTGAGAGTAATAGGAGGGAGATTGGCAGTGCCAGCATGGGAGAAAAGGGAGATGTAAGGATGGCTGATGATCACATTCATCTGTGGCCCGCGAGTCGCTGACATTTTGAGCCTTGATCAGTGCCAAGAGGAGAGGTATGGATGGCTGATGATCACATTCATGTGTGGCTGAATGCAGGTGAGCGAAAAGAAGGGAGACTGTGAGTGTGCGTGACTAGCAGGAGGGAAATAGGCACTGGTAGCATAGGAGAACGGGGAGGAAAGGTATGGGCAGCTGACAAGCACGTCCATCTGTGATCCGTGTGTGATGAGTCGATTTTTGAGTCGACTCAAAAATTGACGAGCAGGTCTATCTGTGATCCTAATGCAGGTGAGCGCAAGGGGAAGGGGTAAGGTTGGGGGGGGTTGACTGTGTGAGACTAGTAGGAGGAGGGAGAGTGGCAGGGCCAGCATGGGTGGGCGGAGAGGAGAGGTGTGTGAGGCTGACGCTCATGAATGGATCAGTTGAAGGATAGGAGGGGGATGGCACGAGATCACGAGGACAAGACGAAAGTGGTGGTGTTACTGCGAGCATGGGAATAGATCGGTTGCTTTCTTCCTATACATCACCTTTAGTTCTGCAAACCAGGCACCCAACCTTCCCTTCTGCCCCACTCTGCTGCAGGGTGTTTTCGAGAATTCTCAAAAACACCCTGCAGAATCATATGCATTGCCTATAGTTCTGCAAACCAGGCATCCAACCTTCCGTTTTGCCCCACTCTTGCCTCCTCCTTCCCTCTTCTTGCAGCCCCAATCTCCTCTCTTCCTCCCCCCTCCTCTCCCAGGCATCGGCCACCCATCCCCCTGGACAGGAGAAGGCAGGCGTGCAGCAATTCAACGCGTCCCTGCCCTTCCCTTCCTACCCCCACCCTGCACCCAGTTTCCTTAATTTGGACCCAAATTTCCATCTAGTGCACTTCTGACTCCCTCCCCTCCCCTCCCAGGCATCGGCCACCCCTCCCCCTGGACAGAGAAGGCAGGCAGGCAGCATTCAACGCGTCCCTGCCCTTCCCCGCGTGGACCAAGCGGGGGGCGACGCAGTCCCCGTCACGCAGGGGGGAGACGGGGTGGTGCCGGGGTGTGCATATGAGCTGGCATGGTACAGTGCGTATGCGTGCCCTCTGTGCTCTGAGGGGGATGTGGAAGAGGTTCCAGTGGCAGACTGCCATAACAACAAGCGATCACGTTCAAGTACCGGCATCCAAGGGTGAGTGTGGGTTTGTGTTGGGGGAGGCGATGGGATGGTGCCGGGTTGTGCGTATGAGCTGGCGTGGTACAGTGCCTATGCTTGCCCTCTGTGCTCTGAAGAAGACGTGGAGGACGGTGCCAGTGGCAGACTGCCACAACAACAAGCGATCCACGTTCAAGTACCGGCATCCAAGGGTGAGTGTGAGTGTGGTGCCATCCCAGGGTGCATCGAAACAAGGCATTCAGCAAGTGAGAGAGAGAGGATGGGGGGTGGTGGTGGCAGCCGGTTGTGCCCTGTCACCAGGGCACTTCAAAACACGTCAACTCCCCCTCTCACATCTCTCCCCCTTCCTTCTTCCTCTCTCTTTCCCCCCCCCATTCCCGTCTCCCACCAGGTGTGTCAGCCCAACGCCCAGGCGCCTCTCCCTCCCGACCAGCTATGCTCCCCATGCCCTGCAGACGACTACAGTAGCTTCGAGCAAAGCTGCACTGACAGCACGCTTGCCTCCCCTCAAAGCTGCGCTGACAGCACGATGGCTCTCCTCTCCACTTCGGCACCTCAAAACACGTCTCCTCCCCTCTCCGCCTCTCCCATCTCTCCTCTCCCTATATCCTCTCTTTCTCCTTCCCTTTTCTCACCAGGTGTGTCAGCCCAACGCCCAGGCGCCTCTTCCTCCCGACCAGCTATGCTCCCCATGCACTGCAGACGACTACAGTAGCTTCGAGCAAAGCTGCACCGACAGCGCGGGCAACCACAAACGTCTCCTACTCTTGGAACCTGCCCAAAAACTGCAGCGAGAACCTGCCCGGAGCGGCGCAAAAACTGCCTGAAAATATCATTGTTGGAGAGTGCCTGTTCCAGGTTCGTTACATCCCGGCGAAATACCTCGCTCCGAAATACATAATCATCACAGGCGGCTGGAGCTACTATAATTGTGATGCGGGCGGGTGATGTCGGTGGTAACCTGGTTACGCAGCAGGAGAGTGTATTCTATGTACTCCCAGCTGGTAGCAGAGGAAGTGCAGCTTGAGTGCGGAACTGGCAGCCATGGCAGAGGAGGCAGACCAGGAGAGAGAAGATATGCTTTTCAACAGAGACCGTAGTTACCTCATCATAACATGGAGGTCTTATAAAGAGGATAAGGCTGCAACGCAAGTCACCTGCAGCTGGTGGCAGAGGAAGTGCAGCTGGAGGCAGAACTGGCAGCCATGGCATGAGGAGGCAGACCAGGAGAGAGAAGATATGCTTTCAACAGAGACCGTAGTTACTCATCATAACAAGGATTCTTATAAAGAGGATAAGACTGTAAGGTGCGTTCAACTGGTAGCAGAGGAAGTTCAGCTGGAGGCAGAACTGGCAGCCATGGCTGAGGAGGCAGACCAGGAGAGGGGAGGACATGCTTTTCAACCGAGACCGTAGTTACCCATCATAATGAGACGTCTTATAAGGAGGATAAGACTGTAAGGTGCGTGCAACTGGTAGCAGAGGAAGTTCAGCTGGTGGTAGATCTGGCAGCCATGGCTGGGGAGGCAGACCAAGAGAGGGAAGTCATGCTTTTTGGTCGAGACCCTAGCTACCCCTTATAACATGACGTCCTATAAGGAGGGTCATTCTCAAGGCACTTGCAGGTGGTGGCAGAGGAAGTGCAGGTGGAGGCAGAGCTGGGTTTGCTATGGCTGAGGAGGGCAGACAGGAGAGGGTGGATACCGGTACCATGCCATGCTGTTCAACTGAGAACCATACTACACAGGTGGAGGACATGTGATTGCATTGACTTGTGATTGGATACCTTTTCAAAACACACCAGGTCACCA